AAGTTTGTTTTTTAAACTATGTTACCTGTTAGCTGTAATAGCAGTTATCACAGTAGTCATATTTCACACAGTACTTGAAAATAGTGCAAATCTAATTTACTGAACGTTTAACTTAATTTCTCTTTACACTAGCTGATTCTGGAAACCTTGACTGTCGTTAACTCTAACTGTTATTACAGCTAACAGGTAACATAGTTTAAAAAACAAACTTATTAATTAGGTTAATAAGTTGACCACATAATTTATGATAAAATCTTTTGAATTATTTTTATTTATATATTAAACAGGTATCAGTACCCTGAAAAGTTGCAGAAAGTGAACATCCAAACTCTTCTGTTGCCACTCGATTGTAGTAGAGCTGCTGTGAAAAATCATGGCAGCAGAGGTTTCCGTCTGGTAATATATCCGTAGCGTACCTGTTCCGCTCAGATGGTAGAAGAATGTCAAACATCCATCCTGTCGATTGTGTGTTTTGTAGTAGTTGCTTATGAGTCGAGCCACATAAAAGTTGCTCTTTTCTACATCATAAGCTAGATATACACCCTCTCCTGAGATAAGAAAATACTCATACTAAGTGATTGTTTTGAATTTGTAACAACATATCTTTATAAATCTTATATGACTCATTCCTGTTACTCATCATTACATGGTAATTATGTGTCTTTACCGACTCATTCTTGTTACATGGTAATTATGTGTCTTTACCCACTCATTCTTGTTACATGGTAATTATGTGTCTTTACTGACTCATTCTTCTTACATGGTAATTATGTGTCTTTACCGACTCATTCTTGTTACATGGCAATTATGTGTCTTTACCAACTGACAGCTTTACAAGATTTATAAGGTGTTGTTACAAGTTTACTAAACTGTCAGCTTTACAAGATTTATAAGGTGTTGTTACAAGTTTACTAAACTGATAGCTTTACAAGATTTATAAGGTGTTGCTGTTACAAGTTTACTGAACTGACAGCTTTACAAGATTTATAAGGTGTTGCTGTTACAAGTTTACTAAACTGTCAGCTTTACAAGATTTATAAGGATATGTTGTTAAAAGTTTACTAAACTGATAGCTTTACAAGATTTATAAGGTGTTACAAGTTTACTAAACGGTCAGCTTTACAAGATTTATAAGGTATTACAAGTTTACTAAACTGTCAGCTTTACAAGATTTATAAGGTGTTACAAGTTTACTAAACTGTCAGCTTTACAAGATTTATAAGGATATGTTGTTAAAAGTTTACTAAACTGGTAGCTTTACAGGATTTATAAGGTGTTACAATTTTACTAAACTGTCAGCTTTACAAGATTTATAAGGTGTTGTTAAAAGTTTACTAAACTGTCAGCTTTACAAGATTTATAAGGATTAGTTGTTACAAGTTTACTAAACTGACAGCTTTAGAAGATTTATAAGGATATGTTGTTACAAGTTTACTGAACTGATAGCTTTACAAGATTTATAAGGATATGTTGTTACAAGTTTACTAAACTGATAGCTATATAAGACTTATAAGGATGTGTTGTTAAAAGTTTACTGAACTGACAGCTTTACAAGACTTATAAAGATGCGTTGTTACAAGTTTACTGAACTGACAGCTAGTAAAGACACATAATTACCATGTAATGATGAGTAAC